ATTGGGTCGAACTGCAGGCAGGTGGGGCAGGCAGGAAGGCGGGGCATGCTGGAGGAGGTGGGTCACTTCTTCCAGGTGTGCCCTGGAAGGGTTTGTTTTTCCTGTGGCCACTTTTCCTTTTTCTCTGTGCTTTCCTACTGCACTATGGGCTGAGCATCTCTCCTCCTCCAGGCCCTTCAACCGTGATGCTCAACTATGCCTTACTATGGGCAGTGGACTTGGGTGACCCTGGATTGAACCTCTGGAACTATGAGCAAATGAACTTCCCCTTCTTTAAGTTGTTCTTGTGTCAGGTTTTATGGTCACAACAATGTAAAGATAACACTGTTGTCACACAGTTTCAACAGAAGACTCAGCTGACCCTGCAAAGAGTTCTAGAGTTGGATGACCCTTCCTATTGTTGTGAGCTGGGTGAGATTACTGTACCTCTCCTCTGTGAAAACAAGCTATTAGAGCTTGATTGCCCTGGACAGGGTGCAGGGGCTTGGACCAAGCATTCTTCAGCTGAGGTAGTTCCCCCAGATAATTGGCCACTGAGAGCTGTGTCTTAGAAAGACTTCTACCAACTAAGGGTCAGGTTGTGCACCATGATGTTCATTACAACTGGAGTTGTTACATATCTTTAATTTCTTGCCAGCTGAAACAGTTCCTTAGTTTTTCCTTTTAGTATATTGTGACATGTCCTTCAATTTAAATTTGTTTCATGGCTCATGAACAGATTTCAGTAGTACATCTTTAGCAGGAATATCACAGCAGTGTTATGTTCTTTTTAGTCATGTCAGTTGACCTGTGATTTCAGATTTTCCCTGGTGATTTTATCTTTGAACACTTGACTAAAAGCTGTTTGATTTATCCACTGTGAAGTTATTATTTTCCTTTCTGTAATTTTTAAGTATTTTGTGAAGTAATACTTCGAGTCTATGAAATATTCCATTTTTCATCAATTTTCAGTGTATTAATTTACATCAATATATAATAATGGATTTTTATTTTATTTAGTGGGTTGTGGTTTATTATTTGATCTTCTATCTGTTCCATATTTGACTAGTGGAAACCCCTTCAAGTTAGCTCTGTGTCTTTTTGGCATGACTCCTTACCCATTACTTGTTGAGCATGTCCCCTCTTTCAGGTTTGGACTTAAAAACATTTCAGGGGAAAAAAAATAAATAAATAAAAGCATTTCAGGATTTAAATAACTTTGTGGAGAGGGGATGCTTCCCTTTTCCTTCCCATAAAAATTCAGTCCAAAAGCCACAGATGGAATTGAGGTAGATGTCTGTGTAGGGGGCAGGGAAGTCACAGTAGCCACAGGGATTCCAGGTTTGTCTTGCACTTTTTCTGCCTCAACCCTGAATCAGCTATTTCTACAGAGAGCCTAGGTTTCTTTCAGTGTAGAATGGTATTTAGAAACCAAGATTTGGGTATTAGGTGTGCTCATAACTGGTAGGGTATGGCTGTTCCCAGGCCCTCACAGTTAACAGAGTTGTGAACCAAGGATTGTATGTATTTATATACATAATTGTTTTAGTCAGCTTTTGCATTGCTGTGACCAAATTATCCAACAAGGACAACTTAAAGGAGGAAAAGTTTTTTGGGGGCTCACAGTTTCTGAGGTTTCAGTCCATAGTTGACTGACTCCATAACTCAGGGCCCAAGGTGAGCCAGCACATCATGGGGAAAGGGCCCAATGGAGGAAAATTGCTCAGCTCATGGCCAGTGGGGAAGCAGAGAGGGCAGGGAAGGACCCCAGGGAATATGCACCCCTCCAGGGTATACCCACAGTGATTCACCTCCTCTAGCCACGGCTACCTGCCTGCAGTTACAACTCAGTCCATCCATTCACACCAATATGGACTGATTATGTTATAGCTATCACAATCCAATCCTTTCATCTCTAAATATTCTTGCATTCATAAGAGCTTTTGGGGGATCCCTTGTGGCCAAATCATAACAATAATTTATGTCATTTCTATGTATCTGTCCCCCCTCTTTCTTTACAATACTATATATTATAAAATAAGAGTTTATGACAATTTCTCCAATACTAATTCAATACCACAAGGAACATTTTAGTTTTTGCACTTTGTATTTCTGTATTTATTCTCCAATGGAGAAATACCTGCCTCCTGTTACACTTAATATATTTCTTTTTTGGATCACTACTTTAGTGTGTCACCAATACCCCATCTCCACTACTGCTAAAGTACTCCTGTCCAGATGCTCTTCTTACTGAAACTTGGACACTGACACCCTGTACCACAATCCTCTCCCCTCTACTATGGAATCCTTTCTCATTCCAATTGGGTTTTGACACTTTGTGCCAGATGGACCCTCCTATGCCAAAACACCCTCACCCTGCTTGAACTTTGGACCCTGCTTAGGCCACTGTGGCTTCCCTCTCTCTCAAACAGATACCTACTTGACTCCATTCTACCTCACAGATTTTTGATTGCATTTTATGGGAAAGAGGGGTTCTCTCCATCCACTTATTTAAATTTAAATTGGTTAAGGCCAAACACAAAGCCTTTCTCTTCCCCTCTTCTTCAGGATGTAATTTCTTTCTTCTGGAAATTTATATTTTTTTCTTTATTCATCTTATATCTGTTTATACATGCTACCAACTCTGTGTAACTCTTTGAGATCAGGGATGATTTTGTGCAAGTTTTTTTTTTTTAAACCCTTTAAGTATATATATATATATATATATTTGTTTAGCAATGAATACAGAGGCAGTTAAAAAAACCTGAGTTGATCTATGAAAAGGTTTCTCTTATTTTTAAGCACAAGATGTTTTATAATTGAATCCTACTTCATTATAGATCAGTAAATCTTTGGCTGATAGTTGAATAATAATAAATTCAAGTAAGTGAAATGGAAAACATTTTGCTTCTAAGTAAAAGAACATTATTCTTTTATTTTTTATTAATTTGTATATGTAGAAAATAGTGTGTATTAAAATCTAATGCCCTGTTTTGTTGATTTATTATGCACATTTCATTAAGTAATTATGGAAGGCAGTCCTTGTGTTGCATGTTTCCCTGTGCATGAATTTTAATAACCATGTTTTAGTTAAATAACAATTTTCAACAACACAGCTTAAAATTTATTTTATCTCAGTATATTAACTTTGAGTATGCATAAAGTGCAAACTTAACTGTAAACTTTGCTTCTAGTTCCTGAGTCCACAAATCACTATTTTAAAAAAAGCTGTGTATCATGATTATGACCAATCCATCTCTTCTTTCACAGCCTGTTGTTATTTGTCTGTGTGTATCTATTCAGTTGACTCACAGAAAAGTATTGATAAACCCATGCAGTGGGGCTTGGGATGTGGCTCAAGTGGTAGTGTGCTCACCTGGCATGCATGAGGCACTGGGTTCGATCCTCAGCACCACATAAAAAATAAAATAAAGATATTATTTAAAAAAAAAACAAAAACAAAAAAAAACCCATGCAGTGTTTTACAAGAAATGGACCAAATGGGAAATAAAGGCCAGGCATGATGATACATGCCTATGGTCCCAGCTTCATGGGAGGTAGAGGCAGGAAGATCATTCAAACACAGAAGTTTGAATCCAGCCTGGGCAACATACTTAGACCCCATTTTAATAACAACAATAAAAAGGGAAAGTATTTCATTATAATAATGCAAAAAATAGACTATTATTTTTTGCATTATTATAATGAAATACTTAAGAGTGTGTAACTTTATATTAAAAAAAAAAAAAGGGTTTGCTTAGCTCATAGTTCTGGAGACTCATATAGATCTGGTGATGGCCTTCTTGCTGGCAGAGTCCCAAGACAGTACAGAGCCTCACATGGCAAGACATTTGGGAGTGTGTGTGTCTGCTTTACTCTGGTGTTTTTCTTTTCTCTCCATATAAAGCTACTAGTATTCAGTCATTCAGTCTCCTTATAAAGCTACTAGGCTGCACCCTCATGACTTTATTGGATTCTAATTACCTCCCAAAGGCCCCACTTCTAAACACCATGGTTGATTAATTTTTCCCTCAGTACCTCATAATGGGGATTAGCTTTCAACACATGCTGTGTTGGGGGACACACTCAAACAATATCCAAACCACAGCATTGATAATACTGTAGTGAGATTTCACTCAGATATAAATGCAATACAGAAGAAATAGCTGAATGTGAGAATGTCAACACTGGTACTGAATGCCGCCATTTAAGACTTGAAGTCTGCTTCCAGCGGAGCTTAGGGGAGGCAAATTTATGAATGTAAATGAGGAAAGTGGGAGGTTGTGATGAAAAGATGATGTTCTAGAGGAAGTGACCCTGGCAAAAAAGTTCATTTTATTAAAGGAACTCTCAGAGATATTTCAAGACATTGAAAATACAAAGGATAAATTGTGTGTGTGTGTGTGTGTGTGTGTGTGTGTGTTTCTAATCTAAGACTTAGAAAAGAATGTGATAATTCAAGGTACAGGAAGGATGCTTTATATTGTTAAGTTATATGATGAGAAATAGTATGAAAAGAAGAGGACTAAGACTGTTCAAGTTGCTTTACTTAAGTACAAAGAAATAAAACATTTTAATTGTCTGTGTTTCTGTTTTAAAATACAGTATACTGAATTAACATTAATTTTACTATTTTCAAGATTTCCCTTTGCATTTATACCTGTGAGAGACGTTTTTAGTGTTTTGACAAATTCTTGAAGGTCACAGAATCATTGAATTTTCCCCACTGCTTATATATTTATTTGACAGTGCTAGGGATTTAACCCAGGGCCTCAAGCATGCTAGGCAGGTGCTCTACCACTGAGCTACCCTCCTACCCCCACTGGTTATTAAGACTGCCTGTACAGTTGAAGCTTGCAGTGTCAATTGTACAGCCCTATACTACCGAATAAATCAAAGACTGCCTTCATACTAACATGTGACACTTAAAAACTTCATATACATTCATGTACTTTAAAAAATATTTACACATTGTAATTACTTTATTGCTTAAATACATTTTAATTTAAAAATATTTTTAGCATGCAGATATCCCAAACCTGAGATTGTAATTGTGAAGCGTGCAAAGGAGATATCATCAGCAGAGACCCCTGATAATTTTGGTATAGTATAGTACATTCTTATGGTGTTGATTGCTTGTCACATGTTCATTGCAAGTAGCAAAGCATCTACTTGATGGAACTTCTTGCTTGTTTGAAATAGAACTAATTAAATTTTTTATATTAGTATTTTAGACTGTCAGCAGTATTTATTTCTGTCATCTAACCCTGGGATTTGTGGATATGATTGAATAATAATTGCATGATTAACTAAACTGAAGTATTATATTTATGACCTTAAGACAAAATCACTTTTATTTAATTATATTTAAATAATGTATTTAAAAATTATAAAATAACCATAGCAAGTAAAACATAAGAAGCAACAAAGGCTATGAATTTTTTTAAGACTACGTAGGAAAAAAGGACCACATACAGACATTTCAGAATATTCCAGAGACAAGCTGACAAGCTGTATTTAAGTAACTGAACTTCAGGAACTATTCAGTGTATGTATACATGCATACATGAATATGTAATACATTTACAAATATTAATGCCTGCATGAATATATATGTGTGTTCATGTATACATAATTTTTTTTCAGCACCAGGAATTGAACCCAGGGTTTTATGCATGCTAGGCAAGTAAGTATGCTTTCACTGAGTTACAACGCACCTCACCCTCAGTATTTTAAAGATATAATCTTGACTGGTTTGAAAGCTTTATATATGTTTATTTAAGGCCCTTCAATGATATATTTTTTTTTAGATTTATCTGCCGTACAGCTTGCTGTCTAATTTTAGTTGCATGCTGTGGTGGTAATAGAATTCTGTGTGTATGAGAAAACGAGAGATAAAGACTAAAATACATATATCTCTGTCCTTATTTATTATTCAATTTAAATATGTTGTCTAAGAAATATAATGAGGTGTCTGAAAAGGAATCTGAAGTATTTTGTGGTTTATGAACATTGAAATTATGTTTGGTTAAGGGTTAAATACGATGTCAAGGGCAAAAACCATGTCATAAGAACTTAAGAGAAATGTCTTATGCGTGTAATATATGTACACACACATATTAATGTTATTACATTGTAAGAATTCTTCAGTATACTCTACCAGTTCTTAGGTAATTCTAAAATTAAAAAATTTAAATCCAGTAGGTATAAACATTTAATGCTAATATCTTTTGAAGAATAGTTTTGATTTTGAATTATTTTGAAGATTGATTTTTTTATCTCTCAGTTTTGGAATGATATAGGGAAAAGAAATGATAGTAGATTATGGTAATCAATATCACTCAGAGGTGCAGTGCTGATGAATGATTGTAGGGTTTACCTGTAAGTGCTCACCTTCTGAGAATCAGTCTTTAGTTATATCTTTAGTCATTATAATGTTCTTTCTCATGAATTTTAGGTGGCACCCCTCTATATTTAAAATATACTGGTATGCAGTAAAGAAGAAATATAAAATTAAAGCATTAAAGGGAACGAGAGAACTGAACCTCTCATTTAATTTGTAACATGAAAAATGTGTTTAAGATTTGGTGACTAGTTACATATTAGGGTAGGGACTTGTGTCAAGTCCTTTGGGGTTTTAGTTTAGTGCTCTTTCACAATAATGGATTTCTTCAGGGTTAGCAGTAGAGATTAGTCCTAGACTACAAGTATCTAGTTCTGAAACCATCAGAAATCATGTAATGCCACTATTCAAGAAATGTTTTAACTGGTAGCCATGATGAATCATTTGTTTTATTTCTATTTCTTCTAACTTTGATGGATTTAAAAAAAAGATGTGTCTGAACTAGAATTATTTCTTGGCAAAGAAGGGGAAAAAGCAATTTGAAGAGGATATTAGTATTCAAGTTAATTGCATTTTTACTTCAGTTTCAAATATTAATGCAGTAGTTTGTTTGACTGTTTGATGGGTGGGTTGATTGGCACTGGGAATTGGACCCAGTTACATACTACAAATGAGCTACATTCCCAGCCTTTCTAAGGTTTTTGTTTTTTGAGAAAGGTTCTCACTCAGTTGCTTAGGCTGGTCTTGAACTTGCCATCCTCCTGCTTTATCCTTTCAAGTCACTTGGATCATAGTTATGCCCAGCTTTGACAGTATTTTATGTATTCACATATGATTGATATTAGTTACTTTTAATTTAAATTGAGAACTTATTAAATGAAAGAGAATTGGAAGCTAGAATATGGGTTCTGGACCTACCTATGCGTTATTAAGTCACTTTTCACATCTGAGTCTCCATCTTAAAAGTGAATTAAGTCAGTATTTCTCAGTGGGCGTGCTACTGACATTTAAGCTGGATGAGTCTTTCTTATGAAGGATTATTTATTGTACTGTAGAAAGTTTAGATTCCATAATGCTAGTGGCATTTCCCAGTATTATTACATGTAAAACAACCATACATTTCTAAACTTCCTCTGGGAGAGGTCCCATATTGAGAGCCACTGGCAGTTTGTTTCTGAGACTCCTTAAAGCCCTTACATTCTATGAAAGAATTCTTATTTGGGAAATAATTGAAAGAGAAAAGGTAACACATCAACTGAAAAATCTCTGTTGCTTCTTATATGTTAAGCAATGTTACTTTAAAATGAATATCTTTTGGGTATCTGTGTAGCTATACTCATAGACATTTAAGCTATTCTATGATTATTTTTTTCTAATTCACTTGAAGATATATATATATATACACACACACACACACACACACACATAATATGTATATTATGTATATGCATATATATATTTGTATGATTTTTCAAAACTAAAGATATCTTTATACCAAATAAATGAAAGTAACAAGATCTATCTTTAGCTGGGCATGGTGACATAGGCCTGTAATTCTAGTGGCTCGGGAGGCTGAGGCAGGAGAATCCTGAATTCAAAGCCAACTTCAGCTCTTGCTTAATGCCTTGCCACTAAGCAACTCAGTGAGACCCAAGCAACTCAGTGAGACCCAAGCAACTCAATGAGACCCTGTCTCTAAATAAAATACAAAATAGAGCTGGTTATGTGACTTAGTGGTTGAGTGCCCCTGAATTCAATCCCCAGTAACAAAAAAAAAAAAAAAAAGATCTATCTTTAAAAGGTACTCTATTATTTCAATATCTTAGCCTCTTAAAAAGGAATATTATTATACATAGTAATTATTTTCTTTGCCTTTCATAGGCATGATGAAAGGGAAGTCTGTGTTAAGTAATATATATATATATATATATATATATATATATATAATTGTTCCAAGTATACAAGTTTGGCATGTGGAAGCAACCACAAATCAATATGTTGATTTGGTTTTCCTAAAAATAAATGTTTGGTTATCCTAAAAAGAAACCTACCATGAAATAAAGGAAGAAAAATTTTGTATCTCTAGCATTTACTTTTACTTAAGCCACAGTTAATTAATGGGTTTTGTACATATGAGTGATTGAGTGCTACAGCTATGCTATCATTACCATTGGCCAACTCTTGTCTAACTGTTACACCACTGGCCTGCACCTGCCCAGAAATCTGTTAGTTTCTTCTTGTTACCCACCTGAATTGCAGTAAGGCCCCAGGAGGCACATTAGTTCACAGGAAGTTAATGAGGTGACACTGTTAGTTCTTGTGATCTAAGTAGAAATTTATTTTTTATATAATGCATATGTTATATAAAACACTTTTAAATGCTAAACAGAATTATAAGATCACACTCAAATGCTTTTATGGGTTTTACCTATGACATGTACTTTAAAAATAATTATAAATCCTTTTATTATTTCCTTTATTATTTGTAAATAAATAAAATATTTATTTACAAATACTTGTTAATTAAAACCTACTAAATTCTTTGCTGTTTATAAAGTGTTCATTTTCAATTTGAATGTCATTTTTTGAGAGTCTATTACTGACCTGTATTTACTTGTTTGTGTAGCTTTTAACCCCCTTTTGGTGCATGACTTTTTGGCATTTTACATGATTTGCTTAAATTGTTTTGCATACAGCATTGTTGCATTTTAAGTTCTTATTCTTTATTGTATATTTATTGTAAATTTCACCTTACCCATTTGATTTTATTTCTATTAGAAGACTAAGCACTTATTTATAATGTTCAGAAATATGGGACTCTGAGACCGGATACCTAAATTATTGTTTAAATGCACTAGTTTTATCTTTGTTCTTTTAAATAATCTCTTATTAGGCCAGACTTTGCCTGCTTCCTTTACTTTCTCGGGGAAGATGCTGTGGTGGGTTTGGAGGAGATTTTAGGTGTTCAGAAATTCAGGAACTGGATAATTGGGCTCTTAAGGATTATTGAGTTATTTATCATAAAGGAATATTAGGTGTTTTATATCACCTTAGAGTGAAGTTGTTTTAATGCTTTTCCTAATTTATTGTAAATGATTTTAAATTTTCCCCTTAGTTTGAGATCTTATTTTGGTATTTCTATACATGGTAATAGGCCATGTTATTGCCATGTTTGAAGTGGAATTATTTCTTGGGAAAGGAAGGGAAAAAACAATTTGAAGAGGATATTAGCATAATAGAAAATGGACAGGATAAAAACTCTTCTTTTTGTTTTTCAGAATTTATTTTGTTTCACTTTGGAATTACACCTTGTAAAGTAGGATTAATTTAATGGATTGCTTAACAGTGAAAATGACAAATTATAGTTTGAATTAGATATTATAATAGAGTGCTGTAGTGAGTTCTAGTTCTGTTTTCATTCACCATCATTGTTGTAAATATGTTTTGTGATTTGATAATGGACACGAAAATGTAGACTGTTCCACTTATACTTCTTTTATCAAAGTGTTTTGATTTTCAATTTAAGATATGTATCTTAGTAGAGTATTTTATTTAAAAAAGAAATGTGTTAGGCAGCATAAATTACCCTAAAACTTTTGTTAATATTGGACTAATGGTCTAATGGTTTTTAATAAAAAGTTAGTCTTTAAAGGGATTTATAATAAAGAAGAGATATATAGTTAAAATCTTACAATAAACTTCTCAGACTTGTCTTACCTAATTTTGTGTGTGTTGGAATTTAGTTGTCAGTTAAAATTG